CTGTAGGAGAAGAACACAGTAAAATAATAAATAAAACTCTTAAAACAAAACAAAATTCATAAACAAAGCGGCAAAAATAAAGAATTAATGAACTGAAATTAAAACCTAGATTTTAATACTGGTGTGATGAAAACAACAAATTATGGATAAATTCTGTTTAAAACCAAATGATTAACAATATAGAAGAAAGCTACAACACATGTTCAAGCAAACCCTATGAAAAAAATGTGATTCTGGGGGATTCTGGGGAGATTCTGGGGGGATTCTGGGGGGACCCCGAGGGTCGTGACCTGACAAGGAGGCTCCGGAATAAGGGTAATGACCTACAGTGAACAGGAGGAGGGAGTTCTTCCTCGCCAATCATTAGTAAAGAAAGAATAGGAGGAGTGCGAAGCTGTTATTCGTATGTTTATGTTGTTGACTAAACAAGACAACGAAACTGGGGCCCAGATTCACGAACCAGTTACGCAAGTACTTACGAACGTGTACATCTTTCCTCAATCTTTGACGGCTTTGGTTACATTTATTAAACAGTTTACAAGCATGAAAACTTGCTAATCAACTGTTGTTATTGTTATAAACAGCCTCCGGGTGCTTCGGAGCTCATTAACTGTTTAATAATTGTAAAAAAAGCCGCCAAAGATCGAGAAAAGATGTACAGGTTCGTAAGTGTTTGCGTAACTGCTTCGTGAATCTGGCCCCTGAGCTCAAAGTGACAAATAGTCAGACTAAAGGTCATGGTTGGAAATACGAGGATGAAAGGTGTTATAGGGGTTAGAGCTATCAGTTAGACCTTCTTCAGGGACTTGCAAATGAGTAGCATAAAATAATTGCTAAAAACACTGAAATTTCAAAATATGAATGAGAGGTGCATACATTACATACGAAAGTAATGACTAATAAGACTCTTAATCCTATTAATCAATGTATAGCTGTTTGAAACAAGACGTTCTGACGTCTTAGATTATACAGTTCCATTTAGTGCCCAAAGATAAGGTTAATCCCAGGTTTAGGATCCTCCTTTGTTGATGAAGAGTAAGAAAACTTTATTTAAATTTTGTGCAAAGCAAAGAGTAAAGGGGGTATAATAATGGGGATATTAAGAGTAAATAATATCAACACACAAAATAGGACGTAACTCAATGGATTCAAATTTGCTTAACTTCAGATTTGGGAGTTCAATCATGTCCTGTTCGGAAAAGGGGTTGAAAAGTCTATTGGGGACGTTGGTGGGTAAGGTGATAGACCTGGACTTGAACAAATCCACAAGGGCCGTGACGAGGATTCGAACCTGCGTCCGGAAGCATCCCAGACACTGCCTTAATCGACTGAGCTACGACAGGGTAAAAGGGTTGTTCATTTGATGCATCACGTTAGTGTGATCTCTGTGTGTGACCTGGACTTGTTCAAGTGTATTAAGCGCACCTTAAACCAATATATGAATAGGTGTTATTAGGTATAAGTTAAGAGGCGCCTCATAAGGTTGTGGGCCTATTACAGTCTGTCTCTTCTACCTGTATGTTCTTGTGCCTCTTTCTTAGTATTAAATTTATTATTCTCTTTTTTCCTGGATGACTGTAATATGCTGTTTAAGTAAACTGCTTCATGTAGGCCAACAGTCCTTTTGCTGTTCCCTGTATTCTTATGTTCTTGTGTAAATATTATAAATACTGTTCTGTCTCAGCAACTTCTGTTATATTTGGCCGATATATTTGACCGAAACTGAGGCCACCTATAATGCAGACGTTGTTATACTTAGTTGTTCAGCATATTTATTTCCTTTGTTTTCTTCAATTCATCTTTTGTTATAGTTTGTTAAGTTGTACATAATAACTCCAATTTTTGGCGACTTATAACCTTTATTAGTGCATTGTAACTTGTTGCTATGTGAGGCTCTGCTTAATTTTCACCGTAACACTGAATTTACATGCATGAATGAAATTTTCTGAAGTATTGCACTTTTCCACTCCCAAGCAAACACGCGTACCTGACACATACACCGACTGATGTATTCCGTCCGCTTCTCATTGTATTTAATATCTAGAGCTTACTTTAATGGTGAAGTATATCCGAGACAAAAGTATACTCTATATACTTTCTGGTTGGTAAGGTACTGCCACATCCGTAATGACCCTTGAGGGTTCAAGAGGCCTCGTGCCCAACATCAAATCAAGCAAAAATGCGGATATCGAGCAGATGAACACAAGCCAGTCATCGACCTGGGAGCCGCTCTTGGCGAGCGGGAGCACTGATACAAGTTTGTCATACAAGCCCAGCAACATGACAAGTTGTCAGGACCTGTCTTGTGGGGGCAGTCCTGCTCTGAGGGTCAGCACAATGCAACGGAGAAAAAAGAGGTGTGGGGACAGTTCTCGGTGACGCAACTAGAGCAAAATAAATCCCGGCGCCAGTCACAGGAAGGAGAGACAGGACATGTTGTCTCTGTCGGAAGGATAAAAACAGAATACCGAAGACAATGGTGGGAACTTGTCGAGCAACGAGGCCTAGCCATGGGCGACATAATCACCCCGAGTGATGACTTGGTGGGTATAAATAGCACGAAGGCCGAATTTCTGGGGTGGCTCTCTCGTTGAACCTGATGCGAGATTAGAGTGTGACGGAGTGACTTGCCTGCACCCAAAGGACTGGTTTTAGTTCCAGTGTGTTCACTATTGTGGCACACTGGCTACCCCCGCACGCTAGAGCACTCTCCGGTTATAAATATGTATCACCTAACAAGATCACACCTTCCGTAGCAGATGTGTCCGCAATCAGACTCGAGTGATCATTCAAGAGAGCTGCTACGCGCGCCGCTGATGTCTCTCACTCTACCGTTGGAGAACCGCTTCTTGTCTCACTGACAACAACAATAATCACTTACTACATACCACTACACATCTCTATTATGGCGGATGGCACTAGCCTATATTCTCTACCCCAGTTATATTACAACTTTTAAACTAATTATTTTTATTTAGAGTGCCATTGTACGTCTTAATGCTCGGACTGGCACTAGCAAAGTATTTTGTTGTTGTTCGCAAGTGCTATTATAACTTTAAATATATAAATAAATTAAACGAAGTTGTTTGCTTGAGTGAAGAAGACACTGTATATGGCTGCTCGTGGGTACACACACACCGTAAACAGAGCGAGAGGCGGAGAGCCGGGAGATGGTATCCTCGGGGAAGATTCACATGTCACTCCGCACTTACTCAACATGCAATTTCAACCGAAGATATTAGTTTTTTGTGGTAAAACTCTCCACGGAGTCAAGATTTGTGGTGTAGCGGGGACCCCCATCGTGTGGGGGGGGGGGGGGGAGGGGGGGGAGGGGGGAGGGGGGAAGGAGGGGGGGGGGGGGGAAGGGGGGGGGTGTGGTGGGGAGGGGGGTACTTTCCTGCTGGTTTGATGATAAATTTGGAGCAGGGACGGACGGGGCGCTCCGCCCCCCCCCCCACACACACACACAAGGGAAACATACCAGGAACCATGGTCTATTTCCGTTACTCAACATTACTCTTTCTAACATTAGCAAAAATGCTAATGTTAGAGAGGAAAATTAAAGGGGCAGTCATTAGTGGGGTCACAGGGGTCAGTACTGACCACCCCAGCAGTTACTAGTGGGGTCCCACAGGGGTCAGTACTGACCTCAGCAGTTACTAGTGGGGGGTCCCACAGGGGTTAGTACTGACCCCAGCAGTTACTAGTTGGGGTCCTACTTGTTCTTATGCTGTAACATTTAGGAACTGTCTCGTTTCTCTGTGTGTATCTGTCTGTCTCTGATGTGTACAACTGAAGGAATTCAGTTATATCACTTCCTATTTAGAGTGGAAAGATAACTTTCCTGCCTTGAGACTGACACAGTTCACAGGTCAATCGCCGGAGCTATTTCGTCACAGTGGAGGCGCTGAATGGGGAGCACCCCCGGCCACCACCACCCTCCACACATCCTTCATGGCCTCTCCTTCCTGTGCTCCTGCACACACACACAATACGCACACAATCCTACATGGACGATACCACCGCACGCACGCATTCGAAAAACGGCTTTCGTCTTGCTGGAGGGCTGGGGGAGAAGGCCCACCAGCCTGTTGTGGTAGTTAGGAGCGCAGTTTATGACATCCGCGCTGATGATGTGTGGCATTACTGACATTAAGTGGCAAATGTTAATACTCGTCTCCACCAGATTGACTTCTTCCGTGTGAGGTGTGTGGTTTGGTGCTTGGCCCTGCCTCGCCTGGCTTCCCACTGCTCCCCCCCCACCCTCTCCAGACCTCGCCCCACACACACCCTCCCCCACACACACACACCCCCACACCCACACCCTCCCCACCCCTACTCTTGCCCACCCCACACTCATCATCCCCATCTTGGCCAACCGGCACCCCGTGCCCCTGTTCTCCTTAGCCACTTGTTAACACTTCACTAATCCTATTCTTCTTGAATTATTTACTTCTTAATCACTCTCCCTACCTCCATTCGACAGCCCTCGCATTTCTTGTCCTTACTCATCTTGGCCAGCGTCCATGCTCCTTGTCGTTCCTTACCTTAACTACCCCGTACACCGTCCTCAGTTAAAGCCCCGCTCCTGTGCCTGGTAAGTCCACTACGGGCTCACCATAGCCCGTGCTACTTGCCACTTTTGTTCTCAGTAGCTGAATCTAAATCAACCACCACCACCCGCCTGGCGCCACCACCACTAATCCTGGGGCCAGATTTACGAAAGCACTTACGCAAGCACTTACGAACGCGTACATCTTTTCTCAATATTTGGCGGCTTTGATTACAATTATTAAACAGTTAATGAGCTCCGAAGCACCAGGAGGCTGTTTATAACAATAACAACAGTTGATTGGCAAGTTTTCATGCTTGCAAATTGATTAATAAATGTAAACAAAGCCGTCAAAGATTGAGGAAAGATGTACACGTTCGTAAATAGTTGCGTAACTGCTTCGTGAATCTGGCCCCTGGAGTTCTAGTACCCATCAAGCCCGGCCTGG